AACAGTAGACCATTTGATATAAGAGTATATCATAGAGAGAGAGAGAGAGAGAGAGAAATGGGGTTTAACGTCCACTCGACACAAACTAGGTCATTTCGGGACTAACATATGGTTTAATTTTATTTCAATAATTCGCTTGCGCGTAGGGGTCTTTAGCAGTGGGAGGAAACCGGAGGACCCGGAGAAAACCCACGAGGTTGGACAGGCGACCCTACTCCTTGTCACGTACAACCGGGGATTCGAAACCACGCCAGTCGACTCAATGACAGACTTTATGATACAGCGCGCGCACGCTAACCATTCAGCCATCCAACCCCCCGTATATCATAGAGCCGCTGTTTGGGCAAACTGTTACTCATACCACACTGACGGGCATATGTCCGTCTTCATTAGTCCGGGGGGGGGGGGGGGGGGGTTGGATGGCTGAATGGTTAGCGTGCGCGCGCTGTGTCATAAAGTCTGTCATTGAGTCGACTGGCGTGGTTTCGAATCCCCGGTTGTACGTGACAAGGAGTAGGGTCGCCTGTCCAACCTCGTGGGTTTTCTCCGGGTCCTCCGGTTTCCTCCCACTACTAAAAAGACCCCTACGCGCAAGCGAATTATTGAAATAAAATTAAACCATATGTTAGTCCCGAAATGACCTAGTTTGTGTCGAGTGGACGTTAAACCCCATTTCTCACTCTCACTCTCATTAGTCCGGTCGGAGCAGAACAGTAGGTCGTTAAAATTTCCATTTCATTTCGTTGCACAGTGAAATGGCATGTGGATTAAGACTGCAAGTAAATGTATTTTTGTGTTTACATAACAGTTAAGATAAACAGAGAGAGAGAGAGGGAGAGAGGGAGAGAGGGTTGCGTCCACTCGACACAATGAAATGAATGAAATGTGGTTTTATGGCACGTCAGCTCCAACCGGGCTATATTGCGCCAACACTCGACACAAACTATGTCATTTCGTTACAAACATACGCTACAATTTTATTTCAATAATTCGCTTGCTCGTAGGGGTCTTTAACAGTGGAGAGAAACAAGGAAACAAAAAGACATGGGGGAAAATCCACGAGCTTGGACAGGCGACCCTACTCCTTGTCACGTACAAGCGAGGAGTCGGTCGAAACCGCGCCACTTGACCCAATGACAGACTTAGTGTTTTAACGCGCATCCTTTAAAACTTTTCGTGTGGATTAAGACCACTACTAAAAGTATGTTAGTGTTTACATAACGGATAAGATACATAACAAGTGGTCGTAAAGCACGATAAACGTTGGTTTGATATGTACTTTATATCACTTAATAAGAGCACTTTATTTTTCAAGATACGCGACAAGACGTCATAATGTCGCCAGTCCAACCAACGTAATAGCCAGGACACACTGTTTCGCCCACTCATAAATTGAACCATATTATGTTAAATTGAATTATATTATGTTAAATTGAATTATATTACGTTAAATTGAATTATATTACATGTATGTTAAATTGAACCATATGTTATACTGAACCATATGTTATACTGAACCATATGTTAGCCCCGAAATGATCTAGTCTGGGGCGAGTGGTCTCTCTCTCTCTCTCTCTCTCTCTCTCTCTCTCCCGGCGGAAGTGAAAGCTATTATCATATTTGCAACAGGTCAAATGTTAATTGAATACATTAGTTATAAATGATTGTAAATGGATACCTGTTATTTAATGAATTTCATTATAGATAAATGGTTGATTATAGACCAATTGTTATTACTAATATTAATAATTACTTAATTTACTCTTCGTGACTCGCGATATATTGAAATCAATTATTATATGGCGGGAGGTCTGCAAACAGGTTTATGGACAAAACTTTAGGGGGTCGCGAAAGTCGAGCGATGAGAGTATTGGACTTCCGAGAAGAATGACCTGCCACTCCCCCCACCACCACACACACACACACACACACACACACACCACGGGTTCGAATCCCGGTGCTCGCCTACAAGATTTGAATGAAACCCGGCTTGCACTTGTCGTGGGTAGCGAATGTGGGGCTTGCAGCAAATAAAATGTTACATAGTACTTAGGGTGGGACAAAGGAGCAAGAAAAGGACTCTAGTCATTCGGATAAGACGATAAGCCGAGGCTATGTGTATACTATTGGCATTACGTTAAAGATCCACGAACATAAGAAGGGCTTGGTGGCTGAATGGTTAAGGTCTTCTTCGTGACAAGGAGTAGGATCGCCTGCCTGTCCATCCTCGTGAGTTTTCTCCGAGTCTTCCAGTTTCATCCCACTGCTAAAGACCTCTACACGCAAGCGAATTATTGAAAACAAATTGAACCAGATGTTAGTTCCGAATTGACCTAGTTTGTGTCGAATTTCCCTCTCTCGCACCACTGACATAAGCCCAATAGGAGCAGAATAGTAGGACGTTAAACCCCATTTTATTTCATTTCCGATTGACACAGAAAAGTGGGGCGTTAATCCCACAATTTATCGTGAGTGGTCATGCCTAGATCCCAAACGCTATATCAATTTCATTATGACATTTTGAGCGGTATTTATATATATGTATCTACTTACAAGGTGGGAGGTAATAATCACCATAATACAGGTTTTTACTTACATATAAACACATGTGTATGTAATTATAAATATGAATCATATATGGTATATATAGCTGGTCATCATGTTTCGGGAGAACAGTCTAAATATTTTACGGGTGTGACAATACACAGCAGGTCAAACATAACACCTACAGGGCCATACATTAATAATTTAAATTCAATTCAACCGATGGCAAAATGCTTATGGAATTTGATACTACTCGTAAATTATCCCTTCGTTTAGGATGAATACGCTGTTTTGGAGCTCTAACTAGATTCACAAGAACAACCCTTTCATATTTTAATATCACAGGGACAATAAGTCTATACAAGAACAACCCTTTCATATTTTAATATCACAGGGATAATAAGTCTATACAAGAATAACCTGCCCCCCACCCCCGCCGCCCCCACTTTCACATTTTAATATTAAAGGGACAATAAGTCTATGCGTTGTCATTAATCCTATTAATGATTTAGTATGTATATTAAAGGACAATTATGTAAGATTTAGACAAAGAGCTGACCGTACTCGCTATTATATTTCAAAAATAGGTAATGGAAACGAACATATTGAAAATTTCATTCAAATTACTTTATTTTGAGCAAAGTCATCAATGGCTGTGATTTAGACACGATGTGTTTAACGTCCACTCGACACAAACTAGGTCATTTCGGGACTAACATATGGTTTAATTTTATTTCAATAATTCGCTTGCGCGTAGGGGTCTTTAGCAGTAGGAGGATCCGGCGGGGGTGCGACAGTACAGTGTACATTACATACAATTTTAGGGCTTACGTCACGGGGGGGGGGGGGTAACGCGTACGCGTTGCGTCATAAGGTGTGGTTTCCATTCCCTACTTATACGTGACAAGGAGTAGAGTCGCCTTCCAACCTCGTGGTTTTTCCAGGTCCTCCAGTTAGTCCCGAAATGACCTAGTTTGTGTTGAGTGGGCGTTAAACCCCATTTCTCTCTCGCTCAAGTCACTAAAGAAAGAAAGAAGAGATGCGATCGGCCCTGGTGGCATAATATGACAGTGTCATGTTGCATCGTGAAGGAAAGATGACATTTAATTTCAGGTGTGAAAAACCCGGTATATACAAGTACATACACACCTTTATACATCCGCATGATTACAATTTTATTTTGATTTGTCATAATGTCCGTTTGTTTTTTATATAAAATTTTTTGGGGGGGAAATCGGGAATATCAAACACGCCCTGTTTTTAAAATACCCGATTTCTTGTTGCGCATTAGAATATTGGTTTAGCATTCGATTTAGTGAGCGCACATACCCGTGCGCTTTAGGTCATAAGGTCTGGTATTTAGACAACTAGCGTGGTTTCGATTCCCAGCTTATACGTGACAAGGAGTGGAGTCGCCTGTCTTAATGCCGCGAGTTTTCTCCGGCTTCCCCCGGTAAGCCCCCACTACTAAAAACTCTAGCAGGCAAATCGTTGAAATAAAATTGAACCAAATGTTAGTCCCGAATTGACCTAGTTTGTGTCCAGTGGATGTTAAACTCTCTCTCTCTCTCTCTCTCTCTCTCTCTCTCCACTCATAGGCCCATATTTTCGAAAGTGTATTAGTCCAAATCAGAGATTTAATCTCCGATTTTTTGACCAGTCATATTCTGAAAAGCTGATTAAATTTTAAACTAAGATTTTTATAAACTCTGATTAGCCTAATCATTGAGTTAATCATCGATTATAAAGCAAATGATATTTTCAAACGTTGTCTAAATAATACAAAGTAACTTGAGAGAGTAAAACTAAAAGATCTTGATGTTGTTTAAGTTCATATCTGTATTGTTGTATTAGCTCTATAGGTTGAGATAATGCTCTTCAAAACGTCGCCTTAAAGTAGCTAAGTCTCCAACTCAATATCATCCAAAGTCTTCGACATTGAAAGCACAAATTATTTGTCAATATAAATCAACTTTGATGTTGTGATCTTACAGGGAAAAGATGGGCTTCTGATATCCAATATTGAAGACAAAATAAACATTTTACCATTGGTACAAGAATCGTGTACCATAATGCGTTTCAGCGCCATTTGTAACAAGGGACTCGAAAAACGAGGCTAGACAAATACCACAAGTCATGTCAAACGTAGACGCCACATTCTTAAACGGAGAGCATGCCCAATAACCAGATGCTAGAGATTGCCATTCGATTGAGACTTCTGGCGTATTTCGCCGAACATAACTGATTAGAAATTACAGTAAAAACAGAAACGATTGAATGTAAATCAGTTTATATACATTCATATTACATTATTATATGTGTTGCGACCCATTTTTGTCGATTTCTAGGTTCGAAATATTAGCAATTTAGCTCCTTTAAATACACTAGTAGCTATTTTTCCATAAGTATGTATTTTTGTTTATAGTTAGTGTTATTATGTTAAGGTGTCAACTTACCTCTTCAGGTGAGCGGCGTGGCTTATTGTCCATCTTGTCTTATGATCGTCTGCAAATATCCTAATATGGTAACTGTAGACCACAAAACATAATACACACACACACAGTCAACGTAAAATAAACAACGACTTCTCTTTCTTTAAAATATTATCCACAGGTGCCTTTTCACACTTTTAACGTCGTATCCAATCGTTAATCTTCTTAGGATACCCTTTCTTGAAGATCCGTTTCTCTAATCCCTGAAATAGGTAAAACACAGATAATCCCTTGCGTCTTATCCTTGGGAAAGGTAAACTATATGTGTCAGATTTTTTTTTACGTATAAGACGCACCTTAAGAATGTGTGTTTCCATGTTTCTGTAATAGCCCACTAATCTTTGTACTTTACTGGCTACCTATTTACAATATAAAGCGATTATGATGTAATGGATATAATTATATTGCAATTTAATATATAAACCCCACAATGCTACATATACATTTAAATTAAAATGTCAGGCGGTTTTCCAAGAACGTGAACTGAATAATAAAAGAAAACGCAATAACTACTGTTATAATGAAATGAAATGGGATTTAACGTCCTAGTGTCCTGCGCCGACTTGGCTAATTTGGGATTTAAATGTTCTAGAACAATCTGATTAAAATACAGATCTATATTTCTTTTCGTTTTTTTTTTATACTTTCGATGGCCTACACTAAATGAAGATCTGGCAAGTTGTAGCGATGGGCCGCGTCAGAGGTCATACGAGCGGCTTTTGACCCTATGACGTCCGACATTTGATTAACCAATCAGCATTGATGTACCTAATGGATTATCCACAGTTCCGTGCAAAACACGCCTAAAAGCTCGCCATAACAGACCGTTCCATTGGCTAATCCCTAACACCATCCAGTACACGTCAATGATAACAACTCGTCCAGGTCCTAGTGTAGTAAAGACAAGTAAATTGAAATTTTAAACTATAAAAAACAAAACGAAATAGGATCTGTGTTTTAATCTGATTGGTTCTAGAAAGGTATTCTATTAAATATTTCTTTCAAAACTAGATTTAATGTGTATTTAGTTCTAGTTTACTATTATTCTATTAAATATTTCTTTCGAAACTAGATTTAATGTGTATTTAGTTCTAGTTTATTATAACATATTATTAGATATCGATATTCCAAAAACATACTATTGTGTTTTTCACGGGTCACAATTCTATGCAATACAATTTCTGTTTACTACGCTGGGTTTCGACTAGGCTTTTCTAGTCTTTATGAGTCAATGCTTCGATTATAGGCTTCTCCGGTCTTTATCACCATTTCTTGATAACGAATTCTTGTCAAATTCCGCAGTAATTGTATTCCAAAGAATTTTTATCTGTTTATGTTCAATTCAGTTACTAAATGACATTGAAACAATTTAATCTTATGTCGTAAATTACTCTTACTGTCCCATTCACATTTCTATAGCAAAACATCTTTCTCTATTGATTTTTATTACCTGTTTGGACCGAATTATATCCTTCAGGTGTTGTTGACATGAGGTGTCCGACCGCATCAAATCGACAGTTTATAATGTTGACAATACAGCCTAATAACGCTACTTCAAATAGTCGGCCATGTTTATAGGTCACGTGCATGTCCTACCAGTTCATAGTGAAAGACGGACAACAAACGATTATAGCCTTTTACTAGTTGACCCTAGGGGCACGATCACGTAACCCCGGTCAAACAATAACTAGCCAATTGTTATCGATGAATGGACGTATACAACGATACAACAATATGCCTCAAGGTGTTAACTGAACAAATCTCTCTTTTACTCGAGAGTCGTTCACAAATAACGTGACATATATATAGAATTTATATATACGCGAAAAGAAGTCATTAATGACGGTTATTTATGTCGAAAATATTAATATTTAGGGTTGAAGTTTTTTCGTTTCGTAGATTTACAGTAATAAACGTTATAGATATAAAATGTATGAGAAGACGCCATAAACGACGGCTATTTAAGTTGAAAATATTAATATTTAGGATTGAAGTATTTTTTGAAAAGAAAGGTTTTTCATTTCGTAGATTTTCAGTAATAAACGTTATAGATATAAAATGTATGAGAAGACGCCATAAACGACGGCTATTTATGTCGAAAACATTAATATTTAAAAGAGAGATTCTTCGTTTCGTAGATTGTCAGTAATAAACATTTTCCAACCTAAATACTGATCGGACGACATGTATCTTAAAAGCCAGGTTATTCATTTAAATAACTAAGATTGTGTATTGTATGTATTTTAATAAAAAGGCTATTGTTACTATTTCATTTAAAAGCACACCCGAGTTATGATTTATTCTGAATTTATTCTGAATGTTACTGTGAATATAAACGTTCTGGCTGGGTAAAATTTTAAAACGGATTTTAAATGAATATGTTTGTATTAACAGCCTTCACTCCTATATTGATGTGGTTTTAGAATGACACGTTGAGGCCTGCCAAATGATGATGATGAATATTTTGTGGTTTGACACCTTCCGTTTCACACTAGACTAGCCTCCAGATAATTTTAGTTTTTATCTTTCTTGCTGCTTTTGTTTTCTTGTTTTCTTTATCTTTTTAGTGTGTTAAGGTTATTTAAGAAACAAAATTGAAATTGAAATTGAAATGAAACGAAGTATTAATTATATACCTATAATATAAGACTGATCCCTATAATATTAGTTAAACATGCATTATGCAAGAACTAAATCTGCCTATTGCAGGTCTTTCTTTAGGCCTGAAATGTTTTCTGAAGTATTAATTAGACATTAATTAACTGATCCAGGCCTTAATCAACTCTCGATGGCATCAGATTTCTCCGATATTAAATAGATTAGAATGGTTCAGCGATACTTTGATTTAATCAAATATGGAGGACCGAGACTTAGCTTCGATCAACCAGTACGGTGGTTGAAATTATTGCACACGTCTGTCAAACCTTCAAAGGCTAATATCTTCGCTTGCAATAGAGTAATTTGAATGAAATTTTCAAATTATTCATTTTACGTCATCTACTTTCGAACTATTATAGCAAGAATGGCTAGTTCTTTATCTAAACCTTACATAACGTATCTTTAATAGGTTTTGTCTTTCTTGTCTGTTTATTCCTTAGCGTGTTAAGTTTATTAAAAACTAAAGGAGAGTAAAATTAAACTAAGTATTACTAATATAAATAAGGACTTATTCAGAAAAAGATCTTGATACGCGAGCCGGTGGTTGGACAAAATTAAAAATATCATAAAAACTTACTAAGTCTAGCTTATTGATACTTGTTACGCTGGGTGATTAAAATTCCAGTTGGATATTTCGAAAAACTGGAAAATATATATATTAAAGAAGTATTCATTCTCCGAGCAGCTGGTATTTTGAAATGAAAAATGCGAAACAATGAAGAAGTGACAACCAGGAAATAAACCGTCACAGTACAATTAAAATGTCAGTCTTAATTATTTTAAAATATATAAATAGACACATATGTGTGCTTGAGAAAAATAAAAATATGTCACAGTGTATATAATTTAAAACATCCTACATAAAGCAAAATATCCAAAATTCATGATTATATTAATGAGCAAATCTGACAAAAACTCAGAAAACCCATTGATCAACACCCAGAGTCCTTGTATATCCAATTTCCATTTTGTTCAAATCCGAGAAATTCCCCTTATTAGCAAAATGCACAAATATTATAGAAAGTTTCATAGAGATACATGTATCAAGATATCGGTACGGGACCTGAACGGAACACATTTTAATACACACCATTCCTTAACACCCGATTATTTAAATTATTTAAATCCGCGAAATTCCTCAGATTAGCAAAATGCACAACTACTATAATAGGTTTCCAATCTGATTAAAACACAGATCCTATTTCGTTTCGTTTTTTTATAGTTCAAAATTTACTTTTACTTGTCTTCACAACACTAGGACCTGGAAGAGTTGTTATATAACAGGCGTTCTAGTTGATGTGAGGAATTAGCCAATAAAACGGTCTGTTACGGCGAGTTCTTGGCGTGTTCTGCACGGAACTGTGGGTAAACCCCTAGAAACGTCAATGCTGATTGCATAATCAATATCGGACGTCACAGGATCAAAAGCCGCTCGTACGACCCCTGACGCGACCTATCACTACAACCGGTCAGATCTCCATGTAGTGTAGGCCATCGAAAGTATAAAAAAAACGAAACGAAATATAGATCTGTGTTTTAATCAGATTGATAGGTTTCATAATACTACATGTATCAAGATATCTGTACACGGAGGCCTGGACAGAACGCATTTCAATACATACCTTTACCCAACGTCATTCGGCAGTGGGTAATAACCCAGCGAAGTAATATAATACGGCAATAATACATTTAGAAAGCAGCGATTAGATTTTGTTTTATACACGCTAACCCATTCAATAAACAAAGACACGCGATACAGACAACAACACAAACAAATCGGGAGCACGAATTTTGTGTTTGTAATTTAAGAAGAAAAAGCTCATTATTATAGAGCCTTCTTTCAGAAGCAAATCTTTGTGCTACACTTTTTTTTCTTTTAAAAGCTGTTTTGTAACAATTAAAGCACGGTTCATAGTTTTCATTGAATATACTTTGAATGTTATTGGCAGATTCAAATGTCTTGTTCTATTTTTATTATATTTTGATTTCCTTAGGGAACATTTAAATTAAACATTCATTATGCAAGAGCTAAATCGGCCTATTGTAGGTCTTTATTTAGGCCTGAAATGTTATATAAACTATTAATTAGACATTAATTAACGTATCCAGACCATAATCAACTCTCGATGTCAACTCTAGCCTGCGATAATTGTTGGATTATGATTTAATATGCTGCATAACTTTCCTTCTCGATTTAACGAGTAAATGGATAATCGAGACTATGATTTTTGTCGTACCGACTTTAATAATGATGACCGAGGCTATGCGGAACTTTCGATCGCTTATTTCTCGGTTCATAGTGGATCAATTTGACTGAAATCTTCAGCAAATTGCCTTTACATTATCTAGTTTTTAACTATTCATTATGCAAGAGCTAAATCTGCCTATTGTAGTAGGTCTTTATTTAGGCCTGAAATGTTATATAAACTATTAATTAGCCATTAATTAACGTATCCAGACCATAATCAACTAGCCTGCGATAATTGTTGGATTATGATTTAATATGCTGCATAACTTTCCTTCTCGATTTAACGATTACATGGATAATCGAGACTATGATTTTTGTCGTACCGACTTTAATAATGATGACCGAGGCTATGCGGAACTTTCGATCGCTTAATTCTCGGTTCATAGTGGATCAATTTGACTGAAATCTTCAGCAAATTGCCTTTACATTATCTAGTTTTTAACTATTATAGTGAGAACTGCCAACTCATTATCTAATCTCCCATAATGTATCTTTAACTAATATTTTAGAAAGGAAAAATGTACTTGTTATTTCAAATAATATTCGAGAAATTTCTAGAAATGAAAGATTTAAGAAATATATTCTGAAGGTGATAGTAAATGAAATGAAATGGGGGTTTAACGTCCTACTGTTTTGCTCCGAACTGGGCTAATGAAGACGGGCATATGCCATACAGTGTACTATGAGAGAAATTTTGCCCGGGCAGCGGCACTACGTCCTACTCTTATATCGAATTTCAACTGCCAAGGGATCTTTTACATGATAGTAAACAACTACTAATATATTTTTTGGGCGGCGTTTTGGAGACTATTCTCTAAACCTTACCAAGTCAATAGTTATTAGACAGTATTTCCAATGAAGATAGTCATACGTCCGGATAGCGGCCTTAAGGCGTACTCTTATATCGACATACAACTGACAAGGTTCTTTTACGTGCATTCCAATGTGTACACGGGACCTCAGTTTTTCGTGCCAACCGAATGACTAGACATTGTCCTTGCCACGTGCTCCACCCTGCACTAACACCAAAAGCGAACCCAAGACACCCTGGTTCCGAAGTCACAGTGTGTCATTAAAGCAAGTAAAGCTCAAACCAACGATTATCGTAGTTTTTATTTGGCTTGACTGTTATGTAAACACTAAAATACTGTTACTCGTGGTCTTAATCCACACTTCATTTCGAGTACAAATAAACCATGTTTAGAAATTGACAACAGGTAGCACGTGTCTGCGATATAACCTCGGTGGAAGCGGACGTTAAATAAAGCTATTTCACACACTTGAATAGGATAAAATTAAATATTTTTTACTGGTGGCCTTAATCCACGCTAGATTTCAAGTTCAATGAAACCATGTTTAGATCGTGACAATGGGTAGCATTCAAGCAGGATAAACTAAAACTTAAATTCAAAAGTAAAACCATGGACCGTATCTAATATAAGTTCCATGGCAAAATTAAGAAAGACTCGCAGTAACAGTATTATCTAAATACAGGGACAGAAAAAAATCATAATACTTTTCATGGTATAATTCATACTTAGTCTGTTGGACGGCAAAGTTTCCAGTTGTCAGTGGTGCAAGGACAGCTGTCTATTCGTTCAAATGGGATAAAAAAAAACGATATCCCGTGTACACATTGGCGTTCACGGAATTCGATTTAAGAGTAGACTGTAGTGCCGCTGCCCTGGCCAAATTTCCCTCATAGCACACTGTATGGCGTATGTCCGTCTTCATTAGCCCAGTTTAGGAGCAAAATAGTAGGACGTTAAACCCCATTTCATTTCATAATGTGTCGTCTTGATGTACATGTAATGACCCTCTTTTGTTTAACCGTTGAATAACGTATTAGAGTACGATAAACTCAACTTTAAACTCAAAATGAGCTCGAAAGTGCAAACACGTGAACAGAAGGTTTTATGTAAATATGTCAGTCGTGGTCTTGAAATAATGTCCCTCAATCGTTACCCTTTTAATAACTTAAATGTAAGTTCAAAATATGCTCAATGGGTAGCAGTGAAGTAGGATAAACTCAACTTTAAACTCGAAAGGTATTGAAGTGTTATTCAGATAAGCTTAAAACACAGTAACAGAGATCTAAATACCGGTACATAACAAAATCTTAGTGGGTCTTTACCTGTGCTCTTGAAGTGCTGGTCCTCTTTCGTTATCCGTTAAAATGTCGACGTCGTATTAGATAATCCAAATGAAAAACTAATCCTTTCAGTATTATTAAACACTAATGAAAAACATGTACATGTATAGTCATACGTCTGCTTATTTTCGTCTGCTTGGAGTAAATCGTTAGACTGTGAACGTTATGATCCGTTAGTGAAGGAATTATTATGGCCATCTACACATAAGGAGCTTCACGGCCTCTTGAATAAAGTCACTGGGGCGAATCGAATGAGATCCTTCTTAGGAATGCATACGACAAACCTATAATAGTGTTTTAGCAAACATGTCGGATGTCATAAGAAAATGATTATGACCTAGTTCAGCGAATAAAGGATCAAATTATAATAGATTATTTTTAGTAACACAATAAACCCCCTTGACTTTTGAAATAGGGATTTTGTTTCTAACACCTCCACTTGAGGATAATATCATTAATTATATTATAAGCGCTAAATACTCTGATATAAGCGTTGTATTATTTGTGATGACAGGGTGCGTGGTAGGGGATGGGGTGATATAAACATCCTCTTTCAATTTGGGGAAGATATTTAGGGCGTTAATTGAATATGCATATTATATATTTGACTATAAGCGCTAAATACTTTAATATAGTAAAACACATGGGGGCGTTTTGAGGTGACAGGGTGCGTGGTAGGGGGTGGGGGGTATTAAAACACACTTCCAATTTTAGAAGATATTTAGTGCGGTAATTGAATATGCATATTGTGATTATGATATTATGACGTCATACTACGTTAAATGACGGCATATTGGTATCAAGCAATCGGATATTGTACTGAAATATCATGAACCAAACCCAAGGTGCCTTCAAAATATCATACAAAGCAAGCGTATTATGTAAGGCACCGTAAGTGGCACAAACTATTAAATTACTTACATGCACAATTATTAGAATACCGTACTGCTAAATGTATTTTGTATATGTAGTGTACATATTATAATTGTATTTGTAGTATATTTATTAAATAAGGAGACGAACTAATTTATGCCTTTGGCTTGTTTTTTAATCCTTACTTTTTGACAATGTATGTATGTATACAATATCTATCTTATTTGAATAAATATTGTTTAAATCAGGGAGTCCAATTTGATCTGAGGTCGTGGTGGCCGAGTGACTAGGCTAGACTGAAAAGTCTCTTTTAGAAACTTTTAATCAAAAAATCAAAGCCATTCAATCTGAATTCCACAAAATATAATCTTTTCGTGGATCGAAGGACAAACGCTATGATAAATCTGTGCAATAAAATCTTGCCTCGTCCAATTATAACTTACCGTCCGTAGCCTCCTTGTCGATTTACCGGTTTCTTCTTTCGTTTCGTAGGGATATATAGAGAGATTTAACGCCCACTCGATACAGACTAAGTCATTTCTGAACTTATTTCAATAATTCGTTTGCGCGTAGGGTCTTTAGCGGTGGGAGGAAACTGGAGAAAACCCACGAAATTAGACAAACGGCCCTACTCCTTGTCACGCACAAGCGGGGAATCGAAACCACACCACTTTTTCTTAAATAATATTTTTATTCGGGATGTCTGAATGGGATTGGAGAACAGGCTTAGCCTATGTAAAACGCCTTTCACTTTATTTAATGACAGGCCTTGTGATGTAATGCGCACGCATTAACCCCCCCTCCCGCCCACACACACACACACACACACACACACCCACGCACTCACACACCCACACTCTGTTCATGGGGATTAGCGGGATAAACAGTACAGACACCAGAGAGTGGAGTGTTCAGGGAATGAGGGACAACATAACCGTCAAAGGCACAGCTGAAATTCTGCCAACCTCTATTTGATTCTTCCTTCTTTTCAGAATACTGAGGGTAGAATCTTGGGGGAAGAACAATATTATCGTTAAACACATTGCTAAATTTATATAATATTATTTGCAACTTTCCATGTCCGTATCCCCCTTGTCGCTTTACTGGTTTCGTCTTTCGTTTCATCGCGATTAAAAGAATTAACAATGAATACACCGTGAGGGCGGGGGAGGGGGGGGTGTCATTGTTACCATCAAAAGCCTTTTCTAAATTTGTGAATGCGATTCTCTTCCAAGCTCCAATTACCATGTATTTTTCATTGGTTATAGCGCCCTATTGGTTTATTCGATCTCGTCATGAGGATTGATGGTATTAACGGTACTTACTCCAGGGAATGGACGTTGGGGGAAGAACAATATTATCATAAAAAGTTATGCTGAGTTTGTGAATGAGATTATGTCAACCCCAAATTACCACGTATTGTCCACCCTAGGGATTAATGTGATTAATGGCACGTATTCTAGGGACTGTAATTTGTGAATGAGATTCTGTCAACACCAAATTACCACGTATTGTCCATCCATCCTAGAGATGAAAATGATAAACGGCACGTGTTCTGGGGACTGTAATATTGGAAGAATCGAGGACATTATTGTCGTCAAAAGCATTGCTGAATTTTATTCATACCCCTTGTCGTTCTACTGGTTTCTTATATCTTTACATAGGGATGAAGGTGGGGGGTAGCGCCTGCGCATCATAAGATCTGTCATTGAGTCAACTGGCGTGGTTTTGATTCCCCGGTTGTACGTGACAAGGAGTAGGGTTGCCTGTCCAACCTCGTGGGTTGTCTCCGGTTTCCTCCCACTGCTAAAGACCCCTACAGACACAAGTAAATTATTATTGAAATAAAATTGAACCATATGATAGTCCCAAAATGACCTAGTTTGTGTCGAGTGAACGTTAAACCCCATCTCTCTCTCTCTCTCCCTCTCTCTCTCTAATAGGGATGAATGTGATTAACGGTACAGAGTCCGGGGGCTGGGGTATTGGGGAAAGGACAATATTGTCTCCAAAAGCATTGCCGAATTCTGACAACGTCCAATTACAAACGTATTGTTCCTATCGCTCTATTGGTTTCTTTTTTCTTCTCGGAATTAATGGGATTAACGATACAGATTAACGAGCACTCGATATATATTTTTAACTTGATTAAACACTTTAAAACGTCATTAGCCATATTGGTTTCTTCTTTCTCCTTGGGATTAATAGAATTACCGATACAGATTAACAAGCACTCGATATATGCTTTTAAATTGATTATAGACTTTAAAACGTCACTGGCCACATTAACAAGCACTCGATATATGCTTTTAATTTGATTAAACACTGTAAAACGTCATTAACACTTCCATGTAATATAATTACGTATAGAAGAGAAACAGTGGTGACAGTAATCCCGTGGGTTGACTTTGATATATAGAATTGGTGTAAATGAGGAAAGGTTAATTGAATCCAATTAAAGATAATAGGTGTCACCAATCTGTAAACCAACGTAATCTGACGTTCCCTAAACAACTTACGAATGTCGATGTATGTTACCGCGGAAAATTTACATATCGATTCTCATCGCAGATTCAGTCTTGTATGTTTTAAATGTTAAAGATACATTATGGGAGATTAGATAACGAATTGGCAGTTCTCACTATAATAGTTAAATATATAATGTAAAGGCAATTTGCTGAAAATTTCAGTCAAATTGATCCACTATGAACCGAGAAATAAGCTATCAAAGTTCCGCATAGCCTCGGTCATCATTATTAAAGTCTGTACGACAAAAATCATAGTTTCGATTATCCATTTAATCGTTAAATCGAGAAGGAAAGTTATGCAGCAAAATCGGATCATAATCCAACAAATATCGCAGGCTAGCGTTGACATCGAGAGTTGATTATGGTCTGGATCAGTTAATTAATGTCTAATTAATAGTTTATATAACATTTCAGGCCTAAATAAAGACCTACAATAGGCAGATTTAGTTCTTTCATAATGTATGTTTAACTTAAGGGGGTATTATGAAAGATTGTATAAAGAGCTGGCAGTTGTTGTTATATGAGTTACAAAATAGATAGTGAAAATGGAATGGTGTATTCCAACGAAGGCGCAGTTACAGAGCGTGACCAAAATTAATCCTTCCCACGAAGGCGCAGATATCGACCTGTCGGCTTTCGTTTGAAGAGAGGCATGTTGTTATTAGGACCCAATTAAGGGTGTTAAAGATTTTATGAATTTATGTTCACTCTGAACCAACAACACTCTGGAGGATGGCATACAAGAATCAAGAAGCTAGTTGGAAAAGCCCATCCGAATGTTTTTGAAATGATCACATTTTTACAACAAGAACAAAATATTAATGAGATTAGAATCGTTCAGTATGGTGGGGGACAGGAACCACCAAGGAACAGTTATAAATATGCTCAAATCCAAAGCCAGCTCCCGGAATTAAAAGGAAGACACGAGGAAGAGGAATTGACTTTAGTTAGTATTTAGACAGGGTGTCTTATTTGGCGAAATTAAATTAATTTTTGTTACAGTATTGTTATGTTTTTATTTTCTATGCCAAAAATGATGCTAAAATGTTTGTTAATTAGTTACGTTGGGGATTATGAAAGTGTAAATGCTTATCGTAGCAATCTATAACACCATTGTTACGATTTTAATCCATTTTAATCCCTAGGAGCTGGATTCCCACGAAGTCGTCGAAAACGACCTCGTTTAATCCGTTACGGTCACTAACTGCGCCTTCGCGGGAATAAACCAATGGAATATGTTCAGTCAAATTAATTCAGTCTGAGCCGAGTTATCTCCTTTAAAAGAACAGTATTTTTTGAGATAATAAACACAGTCTCGATTATCCATTTTTAAATTAAATCATTAAATGCCAGATCCGTTCTAATCTAATTTAAATCGTAGCCATCATTACAAAGATGCCCATCATTATAAGTGACACTGACTTGCTTACTATCGTCCGAATATGTCGAATGATAGGCTATTGTTAGTACATAATATCTATTAAATACTGAACATTCACAATATTGTAGTTTTCAAGGGATTCAAAGTGAAATGGGATTTAAAGCCCTACTGTTCTGCCCCGAACTGGGCTAATGAAGACGGACATAAGCCATACAGTGTGCTATGAGGGAAATTTGGCTCGGAGAGCGGCGCTAAGGTCCACTTTTATATCGAATTCCAACTGCCAAGGGATCTTTTACGTACACGCCAATGTATACACGGAACCGTTTTTTCGTCCCATCCGAACGACAAATCCCCCACTTGACGATCAGAG